AGACACGGGGAGAATGTGCAAACTCCACACAGACAGTCGCCCGAGGGTGGAATCGAATCCGGGTCCCTGGCACTGTGGGGCAGCAGTGCTAACCGCTGAGCCACCGTGCCACACCTGTGTGGATTGTCCGAAAGCCTTTGTTACCAATACGTTGATTTTCTGATGAACTGACATTTTTTACAGGGCCGTAGGGACAGCAAGCTTCTCATTTCCAAAGATAGGCAAACGGATCTTTTATTTCCTGAGCGGTTCCACATATTCCACTGGTTCGATATGGCTCAACGGGGTGCTGTTCACAGTCAGCATGGGGTGAATAGCATGGAAAGGGCCATGTATTAACATTATTTTGAACGGAAGGTTTAAGAAGATGATGGAGGAGAATGCATTGATAATGAGGTGACATGGAGAGTGTGCGGGGGAGAGAAGGGTTGGAGGAGTTGGACTGCAAGGGCTAGAGAGCCTAATGTCCTTTAATGTGACTTTGAGTCTTGGAGGACAGAGATGAGCCTTTTAACCAATTGGCCCTCAGCTCCATGGCTCCCTAAAATGGGGTTCTGGGCTCAGCTACCCCACCTCCATCTAACACCCACAGCCTTCCATCACCCCACCCACCCTCGTTCCCAGAATCTTCACAAGGAGGTGGCTGTGGAAATTTTTTTTTCCAATTTGAGCTACCTGCCTCAACAACAAAAATGTGTGCCAAAATATCGGCTCGTAGGCAGCTTTGAGCTTTGTGTCCAAAACATAAAACAGTCCATCACATGATGGAGGTATGTGATGAATTCCAGAACAATAATAACCATGGAAACCAGGGAGAGAGAGGCTAAGGCTAGAAGGAGGAAGGTACAAAGAAAGCCTGATGACAGGCTGTGCTAAAACAAACAGCAAAATGCTCTTCAAACATATTAATATTAAAAGATTAGCGAAAGGTAGAGTGGGACCCATAAGGAACAAGCAGAGAAAGCTGCTCACTGAAGTAAAAGACATGGCAGAGATACTAAATGAATACTTTGCTTCTGCCTTGACCAGTTTAGACCTCTCCATTTCCATTTCCAGCTTACATACCAACATTTACTATAAACCCACAGACTCCCATAGGTACCTAAACTACACCTCCTCCCACCCTGTATCCTGCAAAAACTCCATCCTGTTTCCCCAATTCCTCCTTCTCCATCGCATCTGCTCTGAGACGTTCCCAAGCATCCGGATATCCACCTTTTTCAAACAACGCAGTTCTCCCCCCCACCCCTGTCATCCAGACAGCCCTCCACTGCGCCTACTCCATTCCCTGCTCCACAGCTCTTAACCAATACCCCAAACATAACAAAGATAGGGTCCCCCTTGTCCTCACCTTCCACCCCACCTGCCTCCACATCCAACGTATCATCCTCAAACACTTCCGCCAACTCCAATTAGACCCCACTACCTGGAACATCTTCCACTCCCATGCCCTCTCTGCCATCTGCGAGGACCATTCCCTTCGCCACACTCCCCACCAACCACTCCAACACATTGTTATTTAAGGAAGCGGCAAAGGATAACCCTGTAAACTACAGATCTATCAGCTTGGCAATAATAGTGGGGAAACTGATGGAGACTGTGAGAGGGGATAAGGTAAATATACACTCAGAGAAAAATAAATTCATCCTGGAATATCAACATGGCTTTATCAAGGGCAGGTCATGCCTAACAAATTTAATTGAATTCTTTGATGAGGCAACACAGGAAGTGGATGCAGATACAGCTGTGGATGTTGTGTATTTGGACTTTCGGAAAGCACTTGATTCAGTGCCACACAGCAGATTGGTTAGCAAGTTAGATACGTTTGGGATTGATGGGTCCTTGGTAGCATGGGTTAGAAGTCAGCTAGAAGATGGGAAACAGAGAGTAGGTGTAGATGGGCGTTTCTCAGGTGACTTTATTGAGGTGTTCAAAATGATGAACAATTGTGACGGGGTAAAGAAGGACATTCTGTTTCCACTAGCTGGCGTATCAGTAACTAGAGGGCACAATTTCAGATTTGTCAGTAAGAGAGCTAGGAGTGAGATGAGGAGAAATTTCTTTTCTCAGAGAGTTGTTAGGATTTGGAATGCACTGCCTGGGAGCGAGATTTCATAGGGAGTTTCAAAAGAGAATAGGATTTTTTTGAAAGTGGTAAGTTTAGAGGGCTACAGGGATAGGGATGGAGAGTGGAACTAGATGGGTAGCTCTGTAAGGAGCTGGTATAGACATGATGGGTCAAATATGATGGGTCCTTCTGTACTGTAAAATTCTATGATTCTATGATTCAATCAAAAAAGGACCTGGGAAACATTAGTAAGGTTATCTGTCCATGTTGAGGTTGTACAAGATGTGGGTAAGTCGTCTTCTGGAATACTTGTCCAGTTCTGGTCTCCCTGTTACAGGAAGGATATTATTAAGCTGGAGAGGGCTCAGAAGATGTTTACCAAAATGTTGCCAGGAGGTTTGAGTTATAAAGAGAGGCTGGTTAGGTGGGAATTTTTTCACTGGAGCATAGGATGATAAGGGGTGACTTAATAGAGATTTATAAAATCATGAGGGGCATAGATAAGGTGAATGATAGGTTTCCCTACAGTGGGGGGATTTCAAGACTAGGGGGCATATTTCTAAGGTGAGAGGAGAACGATTTAGAAAAAACACAAGGGGCAATTTTTTTACAGGGGGTGTTTCATGTGTGGAATGAACTTCCTGAGGAAGTGGTGGATGTGGGTACAGTTACAACGTTTAAAAGACATTTAAATAAGTACATGAATGAGAAACGATTGGAAGGATGGATTGATTGGATTGCTGGCTCTGTTTCTGTGCTGTGTGACTCTCTGGAAATGCCAAGCAGGTCAGACTGGATGCAGATCTCAGCTGTTCTCGAGCAACGCTGCCTCTGTACAAAGTAATCCTCGAGTGCGACGCACATGACAATAGGGGCCATAACTTACTGATGCATCAATACAGCCAGACTTTCCCCATCACAGCTCAGTGCAACAAGACTCACGCCTGCTGTAACACCGTCTGAGAACGTGGCTGCCTGTCCATGAGAAGTGGTGATCACTGGAGATGGGGTACACATTGGCAAGCATTCTTTACTGTCCCTGTCTTGAGATTGAGAGGACAGAGGGGGTGGTACACATTTGTTTCAGTTTTTGTTGCTTCAGTTCATTCGAGTCCGTTAGCAGGTTTTGAGCCAAATCTTACGCTCTGTGTGAGTCTAACCACCTAAAAGCAGTCCTCCCCAGTGAATCGTCATCATCTACAGATATGGCAGCTAAGCAGGAGGGATGTGAAATACAAGATGGCGCAGGCACACTGAGAGAGGAAATGTTTAGCATTTTACTGTCTTTAAGAGTGCACATATCACCAGGCCCCGATGAAATGTGCAGAAATAGCACGTCAAAAGAAGTCAGGGAGGAAATGGCCATCACTTGCTAATCCCCTCTGGCTGCAGGCGTGATACCAAGATAGTCGAAGAGCTCATTGCCATTTAAAGAGGGAGAAAGGGACAGAACCGGAGATTTACCAACCAGCCAGCTTAACCTCAATGGTGAACAGGCTAGTAGAAAGAAAATTCCAAGGGACAGTACCAATCAGGGTTCAGAAAGACAAAGGTTACTCAAGGGCAGCTAGCCTGCATTTGTTATGGGAAAGTTGTGCCCACTTTATTTTTGTGTGGTAGTAACAAGGAGGGGTTATGGGGCCAGCACTTTGATGCAGTCTACGTGGATTTCAGCAAGGGATTTTCCGCAAGTTCCCTCCTGGGTGCCTGGTCAGAAAAACAGAAGTCTGTGTGAAAAAGGCAAGTTGGTCTAAAATTGATCCCGCAGCAGAAAGTAAAGGCTAATGGCCGACGGATGTTTGGTGAGTGGTAGGATGTTTCCAGTGGGATTTCACAATGATATATTTGTAACTCCACCTACACTGTGCTATTTATGCCCAGTGAGGAGCAGCTATATGACATCATTGCAAGGGTGCTACGAGGTCCTAAGGCCTTTACATGCAGGGGAATTTCCTTTCAGCTATGTGAGTCTTCACTTCAATCTTCTTTCATGACCTTTCCACCGGAGTGGTTTTGAAACTGTATTCATTCCTGCGATATGGCTGGGTCACCGTTTATTATCCATCCTTCACTGGGCATGAGAAGGGGTGGTGAGCTGCCTTCTTCAACTGAGAAAGCAGGAACTGCAGATGCTGGAGTCAGAGATAACACAGTGCGGAGCTGGAGGAACACAGCAGGCCAGGCAGCATCAGAGGGGCAGGAAAGCTGACGTTTCGGGTCGGGACCCTTCTTTCTGAAGAAGGGTCCCGACCCGAAACATCAGCTTTCCTGCTCCTTCTTCAACTGCTGTAAATTATGAAGTTTAAACCCACTGCGCTAAGTTAATTGTTCAACTTAAATCTACGATTAAGATCTGAAAGGCAGCAAAAAGACTAATAACTGACTGGCTAGAATGTTCCAGATTTGTGCATAAATGATGGAAACACATTAACCGTGAGCTCACCAATCTGAGGAAGACATGTTGAGGGCGATAGCGTTTTGTGTGTCGAGTTGCGTTTCATTAATTTTGAAAAATTCTTTTGTTTTTAACCTGTACCTGTAATCTTGTGAGAATTTAAATAATGCATTGTCTCATGCATTAGTAACTTCCCTTTTGCATTGTGGCTTCATTTTAAGCAAGGATTGATCATTTTTGAGGATCTTGATGAATTCTTCTAATTCTGTGTCTGTGTGAGTTCAAATTTGTCACACACCAACAAAAATTCAGACGTTAATATATCCAATGGGTGCTCCACCTAATAAATTAGTGAGTGTCATTGGAAAAGAGCCCCTGAAAGCTAAATAAGAGGTCCTGTTAAAATGTGGTCCTCAGATAAATCTCAAGAAAAGCCAGTGATTTAAAATAAATTTGATCTCTGTTGCCATTAGGGAGGGAGTTCTAGGATTTTGAGCCAGTGACAGTGAATACCCAGTGATATGCTTCCAAGTTAGAATGGTGTGTGACTTAGAAGTGGTGATATTCCGCTGCTCTGCTGGTATTGCCCTTCCAGCTGTTAGAATTATCCCAGCTCTCTTCCCAAACTGCGGATCTCTGAGATGTGAGCTCTACATACAGTTGGCCCAATGCAAAGGCAGCCGTATTGGAGTTTACCACAACCTTGCTGTTGTAGCAGATAGCCCTTGGCAAGAGGTGGAACGAAACAGAGAGCAGACTTGCATGCAGCAAGGTAAGTGTCAGTATTCCAGTCGGCAACAGTAGACCCAACAAATTTGTTTCCAAGACAACAGCAAAGGAATCTATTTGGGTTATTAACGGCAAATCTGAAAAGACTCACTGGGAATATATTGGAATCTTGTGTTCCAATGTTCCTTCAGAAAGGTATGTCTTAATGAGCTGTTAGCTGGCAGTGAACTAACTCCTCCACTCCCTGTCCACCTTTGGAAACTCAGAACTATCTTTAGGGCGTGGGGATGGTTTACAGGACCATGATTTTTCAAATCCAGCCTGTGCTGGGCCAACATCCCTTTCAAAATCCCAGCGCTGGTTTCTTGTTATTGAGTGACTCACATTTTTACTTCTTTACCTATTATTATCAGCAAGTGTCCCAATTTTAGCAATAAGCCAGACTCTGCAAAGGTCTCATTTTCATAGAATCCCCAATGCAGAAACAGGCCATTCGGCCCAACATGTCCACACCAACCCTCCACATGGTATTCCACCCACACCCATCCCACCACCCTTTCCCTGCATTTCCCATGGATAAGGCACCTAACCTACCTATGCCTGGATGCAATGGGCAATTTAGCATGGCCGATCCACCTAACTTACACATGTTTGGACTGTGGGAGGAAACCAGAGCACTGGGCAGAAACCCGTACAGACACAGTGAGAATGTGCAAACTCCACACAGACAGTCGTCCGAGGGTGGGTCTAGTGAGTCATCTCCAAGACGCTAAATTTACATTGAAATTTGAGCTATCTATTTAGTGCTGAACGATTTGCATTGCTCAATGGTGAATATGAATCTTCTCTTTACATCCAATTTGTAAATGCCTACTCATGATTGACTCTGTGAGCCTTACTTCAGAGTCTCTGACATCAGTGACAGTGTAGGCACAGAATTCCTACTGTAAAGACTGTGTCTTTATTTTAGTGTTCTGTTTAAATTGTAGACTGGAATGAGAGAAGAGTGGTTTTAAAAGTTAGGTATCGCTGCAAGTAATGAACTTGATAATGACTGGGAACACTGTTTGCACAGTTGTGGGTAACAGCAGTGTTTGCAGATGAACTGGAGTTGAAAGGATGTTTTCTTTAGTTGGCAGTGCGTAACAGATTAGTTTGTGGACTCGTGGCTAGTTATCAATGAGAAAGGTCTTCTGTCTAGCAACAATTATGTGATTGGTTTTCATGTAGCTGAACAGCTTGGAGCTGTGAACAAAATACATTCCACCACCAGCTCAGGAGCTGTCTATTCTCTGCAGTAAAAGCCTGAAGAAAATTAGTTTATCTTACCTCCAGCCATTGATGTAATTTTAATTAATAAGTCAGAGGCTTTCTATCAGTGAACCAGTGATCCTTGTGCATCTTGCAGACTGGTGGAAGCATCTGGAGAAGGATGACTGAGAAACAGTATTCTGACCAGCGCAAAAATCAAAAGAATTGGGAACCACTAAGCTGCTTTCCCAGTCTTTCCTTCTGTCTATAGCACCCATGTTCCATTGCCTGTGTATGCTCTGTCTGTGTGTGCGTGTAAAGAGGAGCTTATACAGGGATTTGAACTTTAATTAGTGGAGTTATATGTTCGTGATTCATAACTGTTTACCTGTAGCTAGCATCTATTTATTTGCTATAAATATTAATTTTTGTCTGATCTGCGCTTTCTACCCATCTGGGTCCACGAGGCAGGTACATTTTGAAATCTTTGCGTACTTTTTAGAATCTTTAACATTTGTGATGACTCTGTGAATAGTGGGGCTTTATTTTCAGCATGCTACCCCAGAGAGATGTGACACAGCTTGTGGAGGAAGCCAAAGCCAAGATGATAAATCTCAGATGGTGATTGATAAATTCTAGTAGTGAATTTGAGACGTCTTTACCCAGAGAGAGGTTAAGACATGAAAGTCACTAGCCCAAGGTATGATTGAAACCAATGGTATTGTTACCATTAAAGAGAAGCTTAATAAATGCATGAGAAAGAAAGGGGTAGGTGGATTTAACCCAAAAAAAAAACATTTTTTTTAGTCAGAGCTACTTGTCTTGCACTCATCAGGACAATTCACAAGAAATACAACTGTAAAGGGAAATCAATACTTATACCCTATGAGAGAAAAGTGCTGATTGTTTGGCAAGTGGCCTCTAACTGGGAGAGACATTGCCATGGAAAATGTTCCTGTTGATGATGACTGACAGTTAACTGCCAATTTTTAGATTAAATTTTAAACTAGACAGTTGACTCTGATTGGCCAAGATGTTGCACTAGGAAATCTATACAAATGTCTCCACCAATAAGAGCCAACTTGACAATGAAATGAGGTCTCATACAATTTAAATTTTCCCCTTATGTCTGGTATTTCTTGCACATAATCCTGCTGAGCAAAATATGAAAAATTTCAATGCAATGTGTCTACTTGAAACAATATTCAAGTTCTGTACTATGGAACAATTGGGAATGCCAATAGAGTAAGATGAAGGAAGGTGTAGAAATGTTTTTGAAGCATAAAATCTTTGCAATATTCAACTGAAAGGTCTGTTTCTGTGCTTTGTCAAGGGATTATTTTTTATGATCAGCGTCTGGAACTCTGGCTGATTTTCCATAGGGTTAAACTCCCCCAGCCCATCATTCCACCATCCTCTTTGTCAGGCGAGAAATGAAACCAAAGCCCTGTCTAGTTCTCTTTTTAAGTGGTCATAAGAGGTAACGGTCATGGTTACTAGATGAAGGAAGAGCAGAGTAGTTCCTTCCAGCCTCCGAGCCAACACTCATTCCAAAATCCCACCTTACCAGCAACGAGAAAGAAACAGATGATCCATCAATATTTGTGGGATCTTGCTATGTGAAAAATGGCTGCCACATTTGACTCCACTTAAACATTACCTGGCTGCAAATCACTTTGGGTCACCTTGATGTTGTTAAAGGCAGGGTATGATTATTAGTCTTTGGTAATGTTGTCTTGAAAGTGCCTGTTGAAAGGCAGCAGTAGGTTGGGGTTGACAATGGGTCCAGTCACCATGAATGAATGAATTAACATCTTCCAATTGGAGCTCTTGTAAAGCATCCTGGTGGTGTACAAATGGCAGTGATCCACTGTCCCCTTCCTCACCTCGAAACTACACTCATCTCAGTGCAAACAAAAGTCCCAATAAGGACCATCAAGCCCCAAATCTCGGAGCTTCACGATATGGCTCAGCGATACTGAACTTACATTGTAAACTGATAAAACTGGGAAACTACGAGTGAGTCAATTAACATCAAAAGTGATACAGAAAGCTACACAGCAATTAGCCAGTGGTAATAACATATTCCAATTGTACGTAAAGGGAAAAGAAATGTTGAATGTTAGGCTACTTTCAGGGCAAAGTATCTGAGGAAAGTTAATCTTATTTGGAACTATTCCAAAGCATTTCACAACATATCAACTTGACTGAAATATTTCTTTCTGGTTCGCTACATTTTGATGATAAAACATAAAAGTAACAGCAAAATGTTGCACTTTTGCTACATTATTGGTATTTCATTCCGACTGCTTGCGAGGCTGAATTCACTCAAATCTCCTCATTCATGGTCCTAAAAACTTCTGAAAGTGGTTACAGGAAAGGGCTAAACACATATCCATTCACCCTGTAGCACAACCCCAGCCAAAAGTAAGCGTCTTAAGTTACAACACCCACAACAACATTAGTAACCATGTTATTTTCTGGTGCAGAAAAAAAAACTCAGGTCATAAACCAAAATAACAGCCAGTTATCAAAAGAACGCCATCTATAAAATTCTTGTCTCTTTTCCTCATATGATTGAAACTAAATCAAGAACATACATTGACTTGGTTGCATCCTGCACTCAACATCACAGAGGGGATTTTTTTTTCCAATCATAAATGTTAAAGAATGCCCCTAAACCACAGGGAGCATGACTCTGATCACCTAAAGGGGCTGCCTGATCTGTGGGATTTTTGTTTATTCACTCAGGGGATGTGGCCATCGCTGGATGGGCCAACATTTATTGCCCATCCCCGGTGAAGGTGGGGGTGAGCTGCCTTCTTGAACCGCTACAGTCCATGTCCTGTGGATAGACCCACAATGCCCTTAGGCAGGGGAGTTCCAGGACTTTGACTCAGCGGCACTGAAGGCAAGGCAGCATATTTCTAAGTCAGGATGGTGACTGGCATAGGTGAACTATCCCAGTCAGTTCTATCGAGTCAGACTTTATCAAAAATGCACTTTCTTTCATTAATTCACAAGGAGGTGGAAGTCACTTGCAGGGCCAGCATTTATTGCCTTCTCATAATTATGTTGGAGTAGGTGGTGGTGAGATGCCTTTGAACCTCTATAAGGTAGGATACACACAATGACCATAGGAAGGCTGTTCCCATAGATTGACAGAGACAATGAGGGAACAGGGATGTGTTTCTAAGTTAGGGTGGTGTGTATCTTGGAGGGGAACTTGCAGGTGATGATGCCCCCCATGTATCTCCCATTCTTGTCCTTCTAGATGGTAGAGTAATGGACAGAAGTGTTGCTAAAGGAGCAGGGGTGGTTTCCAGCAGTGTATCTTGTAGATGGTTGCACATTGGTGCCATTGTGCATTGGTGGTGGAGGAATGAATTGTGAAGGCGATGGATGTAGTGCCAATCAAGCGGCTGCTTTGTCCTGGATGGTGTCAAGCTTCTTGAGTGTTGTTGGAGCTGCACTCATCCAGGCAAGTGGGGAGTATTCCATCACACTCCTGACTTATGCCTTGTAGATGGTGGACAGGCTTTGGGGAGTCAGGAGTTCAGTTATGTGCCTCATCATTCCCAGCTGTTGTGGCCACAGTATATGTATGGCTAGCCTTGATACAGAGAAATTTTCAGCATGGTATTTCTCCAAATTGAAAAGAACTTCCAATTACAAGTCCGGAAATATGAAATTAAAACAGCCCTTGAACTCCTAAATCTCTCTGTTCTACAACACTACCTAAGGCTATACTTTTAAATGTATAAGTCCTACCCTTGTTTGTTTTACCAAATT